AAATTATATAACTATGAGTCAGTGGTGCCTAATTTTTTTCAAATTTTATTTTACATATGCAGGTTTGTTACATGGGTATGGGTATATTGTGTGATGCTGAGGTTTGAGATACACATCTCATCACCAAGGCAGTGACCACAGTACCCAAAAGGTAGCTTTTCAACTCACATCCCATTTCTCTTTCCCCACTCTAGTACTCCCTGGTGTCCACTGTTCTCATCTCTATGTTCATGTGTACTCAATGTTTAGTTCCCACAAAAGGTATTGGATTTTCTGCTCCTGCATTAATTCACTTAGGATAGTGGCCTCTGGCTTTATTCATGTTGCAGCAAAGGGCATTATCTTGTTCTTTTTTATGGCTATGTAGTATTCAGTGGTGTATCTGTACCACATTTTCTTTATCCATTCCACCAATGATGGACACCTAGGTTGATTCCATGTCTTTGCCGTTGTGAACAGTGCTGTGATGAACATGCAAGTGAATGGGTCTTTTTTGTAGAATGATTTATTTTCCTTTGGCTATCTTGGGGTGGCTAGCTTGAATGGTAGTTCTGTTTATAGCTATTTGAGAAATCTCCAAACTGCTTTCCACAATGACTGAACTAATTTATATTCTCCTTTCTCACCAGGATTATATAAGTGTTCCCTTTTCTCCACAGCTTTGCCAGCATCTGTTATTTTTTTGACTTTTTGATAATAACATTCTGACTGGTGTGAGATGGTATCTTATTGTGATTTTGATTTGCGTTTCTTTGATGATTAGTGATGATGAGCATTTTTTTCAGGTGTTTGTTGGCCACTTGTATGCCTTCTTTTGAGAAGTGTCTATTCATCTTCTTTGCCCATTAAGATTTTTTTTAGTTTTAATTTTTGTGGATACATAGTAGTTGTATATATTTATGGGGTACATGAGATATTTTGATACAAGTATAAAATGTGTAATAATCAATTAAGGTAAATGGAGTATCCATCACCTCAAGTGCTTATCCTTTGTGTTACAAACAATTCAGTTATACTTTTTTGTTATTTTTAAATGCACAATTAATTATTCTTGACTATAGTCACCCTATCGTGCTATCAAATGACAGATGTTTTTCATTTTTTCTATTTTTTGAACACATTAATCATCCAAATTTCCCCTTAGCTCCCCACTACTCTTCACAGGCTCTGGTTAACCATCATTCTACTCTCTATCTCTGTAAGTTCAATTGTTTTAATTTTTAGCTCCCACAAATAAGTGAGAACATGCAAAGTTTTTCTTTCTGTGCTTGGCTTATTTCACTTAACATGACCTCCAGTTCCACTGATGCTGTTGCAAATGACAGGATCTCATTTTTTTAAATAGTTTAATGGTATACCATTATGTATATGTATAATATTTTCTTTATCCATTCATCTGTTGATGGGCACTGAACCTTTGCCAATTTTTAAATGGGGTTATTGGTTTTTGCCTGTTGCTTTAAGTTCCTTGTAGATTCTGGATATAAGATCTTTGTTAGATGTATAGGTTGCTAATATATTCTCCCATTTTGTAGGTTGTCTGTATACTCTATTAATAGTTTCTTTTGCTTTGCAGAAACTCTCTAGTTTAATTAGGTCTCACTTGTCAATTTTTGTTTTGTTACAATTGTTTTGGGGACTTAGCCAAAAATTATTTCTCAAGACTGATGTGGAAAAAGTTATTTCCTAGGTTTTCTTCTAGGGCTTTGAGGTCTTACATTTAAATATTTAATCCATCTTGAGCTAATTTTTGTATATAGTGAAAGGTAGGGGTCCAGTTTCATTGTTCTGCACACAGCTAGCCAGTTATTGCAGCACCATTTATTGAATAGGGAATCCATCCCCCATTGTCTGTTTTGTCATCTTTGTCAAACATCAGATGGTTGTAAGCATGCAGCTTTACTTTTGGGTTCTCTGTTCTGTCCCATTGAGCTATGTATTTGTTTTGTACCAACACCATGCTGTTTTGGTTACTGTAGACTAGTAGTATAGTTTGAAGTCAGGTAGTGTGACGCTTCTGGCTTTGTTCTGTTTCCTTAGGATTGTATTGGCTATTTGGGCTCCCTTTTGGTTCCAAATAAATTTTAGAAGTGTTTTTCTCTAATCCTGTGAAAAATGACATTAGTAGTTCAATAGAAAGTGTGTTGAATCTGTACATTGCTTTGGATAATGTGGCCATTTTAATGATATTGATTCTTTCAATCCATGAGCATGGAATGTTTTTCCATTTATTTGTGTCATCTCTGATTACTTTTGCAGTGTTTTATAGATCTCCTTGTAGAGATCTTACACCTCCTTGGTTAGCCGTATTCTTAGATATTTCTCTTTGTTGTGGCGATTTTCTTCTTTTTTTTTTTTTTTGACAAAGTCTCGCTCTGTCGCTCAGCCTGGAGTGCAGTGGCGTGATCTCGGCTCACTGCAAGCTCCGCCTCCCGGGTTTACGCCATTCTCCTGCCTCAGCCTCCGGAGAAGCTGGGACTACAGGCCCCCGCCACCGCGCCCGGCTAATTTTTTGTATTTTTAGTAGAGACGGGGTTTCACCGTGTTAGCCAGGATGGTCTCCATCTCCTGACCTAGTGATCCGCCCGCCTCGGCCTCCCAAAGTGCTGAGATTACAGGCCTGAGCCACCGCGCCCTGCCGATTTTCTTCTTTTTTATTTTTAAAATGTTTGTGGGTACATACTAGGTGTATATGTTTGTGGGGTACCTGAGATGTTTTGGTACAGGCATGCAATGTGAAATAAGCACTTCACAGGGAATAGGATATCCATCCCCTCAGGCATTTATCCTTTGAATTACAAACAATTCAATTGCTCTTTAAATTATTCTTAAAATTTAAAATGTAACTCTTTAAATTATTCTTAAAATGTAAAAGTATTATTGATTATAGTCACCTTATTGTGTTGTCAAATAGTAAGTCTTATTTATTCTTTCTATATTTTTGTGCCCATTAACCATCCCCACCTGCCCCCATTCCCCACCACCTTTCCCAGCCTCTGTTAACCATCATTCTACCCTCCATGTCCATGAGTTAAGTTGTTTTTATTTTTTGATCCCACAAATAAGTGAGAATATGTGATGTTTGTCTTTCTGTGTGTGGCTTACTTCACTTAACATAATGATCTTCAGAAAACACAACAGGTGCTAAATTTCTTAGGAAGCTAGAAACTGGATGTATTCTAGAACAAAAAGATAGTTTGAGAGATTGGAGTCTTAAAAGATAATGCAGATAATTTATCATATGTGCTTAACTGACTCATGCAATTATGGAAGCTAAGTCCCAAAGTATGCATTCCAAAGGCCTGAGAACCAAAAGAACCAATGGTACAAGTTCCAGCTAAAGTCTGAAGGTAGGAGAAGACTGAAGTGCCTTCTCAAAGCCCATCAGGCAGAGACAACAAATTCTCTCTTGTTCAGACTTCTGTTTTATTGAGGCCTCCAACAGATTGGATGAGCCACACCCACACTGGGAAAGGCAATGTACTTTACTCAGTCTACCAATTTAACTGTCACCCTCATCCAAAAACACTCTCACAGACACACCCAGAATGTTTAGCTGAATATATGGGTACCCTGTGGCCCAGTCAAGTTGACACATGAAACTAACCATTATACCTCTGTTTCTTTGTTTCCTCATATATCAAACTGAGAAAAAGGACTCACCTCAAAAGGTGGCCAGATAACCAAAAACTTAATGCATGCAAAGTGCTGAAATATGCTTTTGCAGAATATAGTAAGCACTCAATAAACATTAGCCGTTACTATTACATGCCTCACCTTTTTGCGAGAAGAAATATGAAAGCAGAAAATTTTTAACTCTTTAGTATTCCCATTATTAAACAATTTATGTTGAAATTTTACTTAAAGATTAGTGACAATAAGTTAAAAGGAAGCTTTCTAACCCATATCAAAATGGTGGTGTTTCTACTATGTATCAAATGTGTGTTTGTATCAAAGGTCTTCGTGATGCCACATCAACAAAATATAAATCAGTTTGTTGCACATTTCAACACTTTCAAGAGCTAACCAAGTCTGTAGCCTCTGTCCTTAAATTTGACAAAGATCTTGCTAATGCTGATTGGAACATGATTGAGAAAGCAATTATACTTGAAAACCCATACATGGTAAGCAAGTAATATCTTTTTTATTGTTTTAATGCAGATTTGATTACACTGAAGTATAAATCAGATCATAAATATTAATTCACAATTTTTAACGTTTGTAATTGACAGAGAAGTCGTGTTGATAACTCTATTTAACCAAGTAGTAAGGGGGGGGGGGTGTTAAGGAATTTCATGGTAACTGTGGGGCAAAGTAGAAGTCATAACCCCTTTGAATACATATGTTTAAAATACCTGTTTTATGTTTATGTTTGAAATACATATGTTTAAATTCAAAAGAGGAAGCTGTGTATTGGAGATCCTTTTAAAAGACATCATAGGTCAGTCAGCACAGTGGCTCATGCCTGTAATCTTAGCACTTTGGGAGGCCAAGGCAGGTGGATTGCTTGAGCCAAGGAGTTTGAGACCAGCCTGGCAACATGCCAAAACCATGCCGCTATAAAATATACAAAAATTAATTGGGTGGTGGTGTGCACCTGTAGTCCCCACTACCCGGGAGACTGAGGTGGGAGGATCACTCAAGCCTGGGAGGTTGAGGCTATGGTGAACCATGATTGTGCCACTGCACTCCAGCCTGGCCAGCAGAGAGAAACCCTTTCTTAAAAAGAAAAATTATATATATGTGTGTGTGTGTATGGAAGTGAACCTTAGAAAATGGCTAGTTTTTGACCAAATTGGGAGGGGTCAGGGGCCTTTGTTTATTTATTTAGGCTATTGTATATCTAAGCATGTGCTAGACTTTAATTTATGGTTAACAATATTTTTAATATAAAATAGAATTCAAAGCCAATACCATAAGTTTAGCTGTGAGAGATGTCACCTTCTGCTTCTGAGATATGCTTTAAGATATCTGTAGTCAGACTTATTCTTTTAAGAACACTCAGCACACTAATCTGTCACGGTTTCCCTCAAGGGAAATAGTAAAAGTTGTCCTGGAGTCCTCAGAGCTGCTGCACTTTTCCATGTCCTACATCATGTCCAATTTTCAATGGTTTTTACAATGTTTTTGTTTTTGTTTTTTTGCATCACACAGTATGAGGGGCCGAGTTCTAGGAGTGCTTAAGTGAGATAATTAGTCTCTATGAAGTAGAATTCTGAAAAAATCCATTTCCTATCCACTGAAACAGTGCTTAAAGCTCCAGATAGGAATTTAGAACCAACCATTGTACCTGCAGGAATACTGCCAGGATTTCTGGATGGAACAAGTACCATGTCATACCCAAGGATTTCTCTAGTAGCTTCCAATACCTGATTGTGAACTTTTGCTGACTCGTCTGCATCAGAATTATCTAGAAAGCTTATTCAAAATAACGATAGCGTTTTCACCTGCTCTCTGAAGATTTTTATGCAGGTGGTCTGAGCAGGGGCCCAGGAATATTTTAAATCCACTACTCAGCTAATTCTAAAGTAGAAGCCAGTGTTGGGGCCACCACTCTGGTACTTGATCTGTTTCAGAAGGCAGAGGATCAAATGACTACATTCTCCTTTCTGTGATGCAAACATGAGGGATATTATAGTATTAAAGATAGAACACTGACCTTGGAATCAGAAAATCTGACTTTATAGCCTAGCTTTCTCACTTAATAGCTTTGTAATTTCGAGCATATCATCAATTTTCTCTAAGCTTCAGTTTCTCATCTGTAAATTATTCATACTCCCATTTCCTTTATGTGTGTTCACTTTCTATTTTACATTAAGTGATCATTTTAAAGCAGTGGTTGTCAAGTTTTAGCTGCAGCAAAATTTTCACATGGGGTTTTAGAAACACAGATTGCTGCCCACTCCTCCAATTAGGATTCAGTAGGTCTAAGGTGGGATCTGAGAATGCACGTTTCTAGCAATTCCCAGGTGATTCTGATGCTGCTGGGGAACCACATTTTGAAAACTGCTAGTGTAAAGCATGATCATATATGTGATAGCTTTTTAAACTGTTAATAATGCCATGTAAAAGTAAAGATATAACTCCCCCCCACAAAACTGACAATTATTTTACCTTCTATAACTGAGCAAATGATTAGACATCTAAGCAAATGATGAGGATCTGAACATTTTTCTGTATTTATTTCTGTAAGAAATATATGTCTAATTTCTATAAGAAATTCACTCACATTGCATTCTAGCTGGGAAAAGATAATATCTCATGATGGTTTTGATTTTCATTTCGCTATTGACTAGTGATGTTAAATTTTTTAATGTACTTGTTGACCATTGTGTGTCTTTCAGAAATGTCTGTTCAGATCCTTTGCTCATTTTCAAATCATACTATTTGTTTGTTTGTTTGTTTGTTTTTGCTGTTGAGTAGATTTGCTACCATTTTTCAAAGCAAACTGGTACAAAAACTGCTTGTGGATTATGCTAAACAATGTGTTAATATTCATGTGGTTTTTGTTCTTTTATTTATGTTTTATTTAGTTGAACCAAGAAGAAACAACAGAACAGCAGAAGGTGAAATGTCCACACTGTAACAAGGAAATAGATGAGATCCTTAACATTGAAGCAATGGAGCTGGCCAACAGGCGTCTCTTGTCGGCACAAATGGTACTGTGTTATTCTCTTTTGAAATTATTTTTGGCTAAAAATTATACTGGAAAATTCCTCCTTTATAAAGACATCTTGATCATGCTCACTTAATAGATTGTTTACAAAAGCAAAGGGAAGTTTGACATTGTCTTAGGAGTCTGCTTGATCGCAAAAAAATAAAATGAAAGAAAGAGAGAGAGAGAAAGAAAGAAAGAGAGAGAGAGAAAGAAAGAAAAAGAAAGAAAGAGAAAGAAAGAAAGAAAGAAAGAAAGAAAGAAAGAAAGAAAGAAAGAAAGAAAGAAAGAAAGAAAGAAAGAAAG